TTTGCAAGGAAAAACGGTGACTCGACAACGCGAACCTGAAACGGAAACGTGGAAGGGAAAAGTGACACAATGTGCGCATTGACCAATCTTAATATCCACAATAAAAATGCCAACTTTTGTAGGAGTCTGGAGAGGGAGGTCCTGCGAAAAGCACTTCACTGCTGTGTAGGAGCGCTGTGATTTTTGGGGCGCAAGCCTGTCTCCGCAGCGTCCTTTTACCATCATGCCATCACCACGAAGCTCCTTCAAAGGAGGCCTGCTAGAAAAATCAAGATAAAATTGCAACAGAACAACGACAGCGTAGAGTTAGACAAACTTGTTCTCTCCTCTAGCCTCCTCACGCGATCGCTGACTTTCTCCGTGGCGCACTCCAGTAACCTAAGACAAAAGGAAAGCTTTTGAGTTCAATCACATCTTTTGAACATAGGTGGCCATGGTATCAAATTGTGAAATTTTACTGAAAAAACTGCTTCTATTACTTGTTTTACTTACCAGCAATTGTAGCCCGTTATCTACGCTCAGATACTTTCCGTTTCTTAGTTGACTGCGAACTTCATCAGCGCCATTCATGTTCTCCATTATGACAACCTATGAGAAACTTATTGTACGTAAGTTTGGAAATAAGGAAGAATATAAAGGCTCACCCGTATTTGGTATTTGATTGCAGTTGTTTGGAAGGAATTTTGACATTATGTACAGTACCAAATCTACGGAATACATGAAAAACAGATCCCACTGAAAACAGAATGGATGAAACCGGTGATATATCTACAACTGTTTGATCAATCTATTTGAATATACTCTGTATATCTACCGAGCACGTCCACTGGACGTATGGAAATAAATAAATAAATAAACTGTACAATCTCACTCTACATTCCTGCAGTCGAAACTCCAATCTGGGTTCTAACTGATTAGGCGCAGCAACTCATGCTGCTCGATTCGTCCTTATATTTTTTTAGAGATAGCTGGAGCATGATCCATTTCGTTCACTTTACACCTATCCCGAGCTTTCTCCATTAGCAAAGTTGGGTTTACAGTGGGTTTCACGGAATTCGCCATCCTCCTACTTATCAGGAAAGGGCTCCATCTACCCATGGAGCTTTGAATTGACACCTAGGAAATCGATAGAGCCTTTGATGATGTTACATATGTGTGAAGACAAAAGTTGCTACGTGAACGTGTCAAGGAAATTGTTAGCGATCAAAGTGGTCCCAAGTTCGATTCCTCGTGGTGCAAAATTTTGCATTCTAGGTTGGCGCTTCCAGATTGGGGCAAATGGCGTCAGCGCCAAGAATGGATGTCATCTTCGTGATCAACCATCAGAATCCCTTGCAATAGGCTTTTGTCAAATATCATTATACCAACGCTGCATTAACAGCCAACTTTGATCGCTCACAATTTCCTAGGCAAGTTCGCGTAGCAGTTTTGCTTTTCATATTTGTAACCAACATTCTAGGCTCTATCGATTTACCTAGGTCTCAATTCAAAGTTGCATTAGAACTTGAAACACTTTTCCAGTTAGAGAATCCGGACTTGCGTTATCAATTTGCATCCATATTTGACAACTTTCTTGATGAGGCCGCAGCTATAGTTTAGTCGAACCGACGGTCCGGTTGCGCAACCGCTTGTGGGCTAGATACGTATTATCCATGCGACACAACGAGCGTCGAAGGTTTGGACCATCGATACGTACCTACCCTGGTGTTATCTTAGTTAGAGGCCACGCGATGGCGCGGCGCTGTTCTCCTCTGCTCTCCAAGGCTTAGTCACCGATGGCGCGTATTTTGAAACTGCCACATGATGGCGAAAGAGTAACTGTCCCTGTGGACTAAGCCTTGGAGGAGCAGACGAACAGAGCGCCGCGCCATCGCGTGCTTCCCCCCCGAACCCGAGTTTCACTGAAAATCCTATGAAAAAATGAGATGATCCTCTGCTCCTATTCGAACGATAACTGGGATCAAAAATGCAGTGCCTCGTGTCTCCAAGGCCATATATTGATTAGCAGTTAATCAGTAATCTTTTGTTGAGGATAAGGACAACGATCTCAAGAAGCACTGGAGAGATTCCTTCTGCTAAAACAATTTGTACTGCACTCACTCTACGAAAGCACGGCGGAAACCTTATTCCCCCTGCCGATTCTCTCTATGCTTTTTGGGCGCAATGCGGCTCGAGGAGGGCCAGTCGCCGCGCGCTATCTCTGCGTTCTTCTGTGTAAGGATTTCCTCTTCGCTTAAATCGGGACTGAAGCCTCGGGCAGGGGAGGAGGAACTCCAGGATCATAGCAATTTTCATCTTCCCAAAGTTCCTGCCCACTCCTAGGCTTAGTACTACAGGGCGCGGACGAGCAGCGATCGCGCGGGCGAGTGCCCCCACCCCTCGAGCCACATTGTTTTTTGCTCCCTATCTTGAAGAATATGAAAGAGAATTTTCAACTCACATCGACGAAATGTGCCGGAATATTCTTCACGCAGAACTCCTTGTCTAGCTCAATAGGGGCCGATCCAGAAGGAAATTGATCCATTTAGATCTGAAAGTAACGAAAAGTTAAGCGTATAGAGGAACAGAAAACCTTAAATGAAGCGACAACAACTTCAGTCATGATAATCCACATGCACCAGAAACAAGAGAAGTGAGCATGCCGTCAAGTTTCAAATCCGCTACAGTTGAGTTTGGCGCGCCGTTCATGTTCGCGCCTTGTACGCAATTGCACTGAATTGTTTCTCGACGGCAATTTCCTGATGGAATGAGGGTGTGGTTCATAGTTGGGAGAGCGACTTTTCGCTTCGCATTGCAAAACATTTCTTTCCGCTGTTAGAACTCTCGGGTGCACCAATGATCGCGGTTTTTAGATTCGTAGCAGGCGAAAAATGTTTCGCGCTGCAAAACGCGAAAATGTCCTATTGAACCACACCCAAGGAATGACGTCAATGGGAAGTTAAGAGGAAGAAGAATCTGTGCAGTCGGTACACGCCAGCAACGAGGTTTACTCTTTGAAACTGCCGATCGAAGCCGCTCGAAAGATCCCTATACTAAAAGGACTTGAGGGCTCAATGTGGCCAACATTTCAGCTTTTCAACCATGTCAAATGACTGCCCTCACATCCCCCTCCCCAACCAGAGTCAACCCTGCGTTGCGCAGTTCGCAACGGCACGTTGAGAGATCCTCAACGCACGCTGTATGGGCGGAGACACAGACGGCTCGAGCATGCGAGTGTGAATGTTCGCGCGAGAGAACGTGTCTAATCGGGCGAAACTGCGCAACGTGGCCGTTGAGAACTGCGCAACGCAGGGTTGACTCTGCCCCTCCCCCTCTTACACTGGCTACCATCCCCCCTGCTCCGCGATATTCCCACCACGACTGAGGTAAGTAAACATGCCACGCGCCGCTACTCCACCCCCCCCCCCGCCGAGCCTACATTGCGCTTTTTGTGGCCAGTTAACTACGTAATGTAGTGAAGCGTACTATCCCTTCGAATAGCCATGGAAAACCGAATGACAACCAACACTGAAATCCAAGAATGAACCTACATAGCATGTTCTACTCGACAGAAAGGGTAAACCCCCCAGGAGGCCCGTCGCGCGGCAAAAGGCAAAGTCAGCGGACGAGTCGCGCGCGTAGGGATTTCGCGTCAAGTTAAAAGAGTGTCCCATTGCACGTCCTACATCGCACATCACGCGCTGCAACTCGTCCGACGACTCTGCCTTCTTGCCGCGCGACGGGCCTCCTGGTGGGTACCCCGACAGAAATATTCCTGGCACTGTTACAACACCAACAATGGTTAGAAAATCTTTATTCTAAACATTCGCCTCTAGGGTTATTGAGTGTCCTGACACGAATACGACATCGTTTTTGATGTTGAACCAATTTGGTGCCGGTCGCCAGTTTGGTACAGCACCTTTTCCCACCATGTTTGTTGAAAACTATATGTGAGTTATTTGGACGTCCGCTGAAATATCACCCCGCTTTTTAGCTCTCATTTGGATGACACAATTTAAAACGGAAATCAGCACCAAGTGATGCTAGCGTGAAAAGCGATTGCCATATTCATGACCAAGGCATTGATTACACAGCGGTCTGAACTTGCGTGTAATATTTGGATAGGCCGCCCGAAGGTGGCTGTGGTGTGTGAAGGTATTGTGCACTCGCCTTGCGTATGCATTCCATCATATCCCCTCACGTTGACGCTGGAACGCGTGGGTACAAAGTAGTGTAGCTGCGCGCTCCACTATCAACGTGATTACGGTAGCGATCACTCATCGTACTGTAAAAACCGGCTTGTATTGTTGACGTGGAAGTGAAGACAACTTTCACATTACAGTTTCAATTGTCATCATTTACGGTTTGAGGTGTTCGTCGAATGACCAAAAAAAAAAGGCGAAACGCGCGCTCTTGTCAACGTGGTAAGCATATACGTGGTTGGTAGATGCTTGTAGTACTTAAAGGCATGACCCAGGATGGGGGTAGTGAAGCAAGAAAAGGAAAATTCCTTCAAAAACTCTAGGTTGAGGGCTCACTCACCTTCCTGATCGGCTGTGCTAAGGGAATGAGAGACTAAGCGCGGAGAGGAGAGTATGAGGCGAGAGAGCGCTACAGAGAGAGCGCCAGACAACAGCCTGATAAGAGAAAAAAATCTGCAGCTTCAGCAGCTTACTTTGCAAGGCCCAAGCGCTCTTGTCGGTTGGTTTCCGTGCACGGGAACGCCACATTTGTGATTGTCCCTCTAGGGGTCCTACACTACAGACCGAAAGGGAGAGTTCACGTGTAGCCACATTTCCGCTAAGAAGTTTGAGGGTCTCATCCAGTAAGGGGGGGGGGGCATCAAGTGGCTGCCCTCACCCCCACCCCCTAGACTGCCTACACTCCCCCTGGCGCACAGGTTTCTCGAAGTACGGGACCCCGTGAGCCAGGGGGAGTGAAGGCAGTCTAGGGGGTGGGGGTGAGGGCAGCCACTTGACGTTGCATCACAATGCCCCCCCTTACTGGATGAGACCCGAAGGTGAATAACTTCGTATTAGCATACTTCATTCTATTCATGCTCTGTATCAAAAAGCAAGGATTTATTTCCAATTTATCAATGAAATATTCTGCCCAAAATTTTAATGGAATTTGAAGTTAACATACAATGCATTCCATAGAGTTGATCACAGTAATGAATCGTATTAAACATAATGATTTGAGTTGCTAAAGGAGTAATATGAGTTATAGGAAGCAGATCCAGGAAAATTGATCTATTTGGCATTCACAGGCTCCGTTTTCGGAAGATCTTGAACTTGAGTGCCTTCTTCTGGGTAATTTTGTATGCTCGCTACACCTTTTAACGTATCAGAATCTTCTTCTTCTTCCACTATTTTTCCATCTATACTGCGAGTTCGTTTCTTCCTTGGTAACGTTTTCAACTTTTCGGCCGGTTTTCTGTAACATTATGCATCGAACAATATTCAGCTGCATTACTTTACCATCCTGAACTTACTCTTCTTGGTCTGGAGACGCTTGTGCTGCTTGTTTTACATTTTTCTGCAAATAAACTTTTTATGAGTATTTCTACACCAATATTTTGCTATCCCTCACCAATGTCACCAAGCTCGTCGCGCTGTGGGAGCGGAAACGCTTTCTGGTTGCAAAAGAGGGGGTAGCCGAGACGTAAGAAGTAAGAAGTAAGATTTGCTATAAGATACTTGCCCTTGATTATTTCTGTAGTATTCCCTTGAGCCGATTGGTATGGCCCCCCTCCCGCCCCTTCACTCTCTCTCGCGTCGCCTCTTGTCCGAGTCTCTTGCCGTTCAGCAGAGAGAGCGTTAGAGTTGAAGAGGGCAGCACCGATGAGAGTCACATCAACGCGCAAGTCAGCGAGCAAAGAAGGGGTCTCATTTTTCGGTTTCCATACTACTTTTCTCGGTTTTTCTTCTTTTGTGCATCACTAACCATCTGTAACTGTTTTCTAATGGGCTGCGCGTTCATCGTAGAATTAGCCTTCAGGTGGTCATCTTCGACTTAGTAATTTACTTCACTGCTCAAGCTCGTGAGTTCTCATCAGTGTTTCACATCTTTGTTCTTTGCTGTTTTCCGCCCCCTTCCAACCACAATTCTTCTGTTTTTTGGAGTGTTCGAAGAAAGGAAGGCAGAGTGTCAAGGTCAACTAAGGAAGTTGAGAGGGACTAAAGCATAGGGAACTCACTAAGGAAATCGCGTCTCTATATTTATACGTCTATGAGAGTAAATGGCGAAAGTTAGGTATTATTGAATTACGGTAGTGATTTACGAGGCGACATCTAGTTCAGCGCCGCATAATGAATACGAAGCGAGTAAATTTTCTCCGCTTATCTGCCAGCCCAGTATTAATCATTCTATTTAATGGCACACACGATCAAGCATGCAAACCTGACTGCGAGATGCTTCTACTCAAATTGGTGTAAGGAGTGCGAGTGTGGACCGCCAGTGAAGAAAAAAAGGAAAAAAAACGTGAAATACGCAGGAAATACGAGCCTTTTGCTCTACGTTGCGGCGAAGTTCAAAAGGCCGGCAGGGAGATGAGAGATAATGTGAGCGCGGAGAGCGGTAGAGAAATCCGAGAAGAGAGAGCATAGCAGATCAGCATTGCGACGCAGACAAAATATCGAGCGGTGGGCGGAGCGTGTCGCAGGGTGGAGCGTGTCAAAGTCCTTGGCCCCTAGCGCCTTAGTGACGCATTTCGATGCGGATTTTGGCCTTCTAGCCACTTTAAGGCTCATTAGGTGGTCATGCGCCCGCACTTGCCTTTAAGACAAACCCCGAGATTAGCCCGCATGTGGGAAGAATACTGTGAGGAAATTTAAGATCCTACCTAGATCACCCCAGCTTCGTCGCAAAAGTTGCGCGGTTAGGCGCTAACACTCACGGGCATGAACTATCGACCCCCTTGCAACGCTTCCTATCCCCACCCACCTCGGTTGATGTAGAGATCAGGTGCTCTCTCAACGGCGTGATCTCTCGCGTGTTTTGTCTTCTTTGATCACCCTGTCTCGCCATCGTTCCACATCCCGACCTTTTTGAAGGCTTAAGGCCTTAATTTCAGCGATCCCAAAGATTTCTCTATGCTTTCCTTTCCACTTTCAGGTCCTCCCGCAGCTCGGTGATCATTGAGAAACGCTCTTATAACCGGTTTTTATCTTGGGGCTTGCCTCTGATTGCTCAAAATAATATAAGCTAAAAGATACGGTTTTGCGAACCTTCGATTCCTTCATTGCATCTGCTGCTTTTCTTTCGCTCGTCGCATTAGGTTTATCCTTTTTTGGAGTTGTGCTGACATTCTGCAACAAATTATTATTTATTTGCCAAGGTGTTTGAATATGGCGTTCTGAAAGGAATAGTGCATGCAATAAAATTCAAGTCAAGCACTCTACCCTCTATTTCGGAAGACGAAAAGCGTCGAGTGCAGACCACACACCACAAGTGACGACGGCCAAGAAAAAAAAGGAAAAGCCTTTTTCTTGGCCGTCGTCACTTGTGGTGTGTGGTCTGCACTCGACGCTCTTCTCGTCCTTCCGAAATAGAGAATATTTGCGGCTTTTTTCAAAGACATAGCACATCAAGGCCCCCTTGCCCTCTTTCAGATGTGAGTGCTTCACAATCTTTGCAGTCAGACGCCAAATACTAAGCATATCCTCCTTCAAGCTTCTTTTTTTTCAGAGCGTTTAATTTTTTTTGTTGGCTGTCAATCAACAATTGCCTTTTTCTAAAGTGTTCTGTGATATAAAACGCTTAGTCACGTTTCTTCTCATTATTGTTCTAATCAGCATGGGTTAAGACGCTCATGTCATTGGGAAGGGCATTCTAAAAGGGGCATTAAAAACCGCTGGTAGATGATCCAACAAGGGAAGGAACACCAGGGCGAACAAGAATTGCTCTTCCAGAATCCCTTCCCCTCCCTGAGATTTGGTCCGACCCACTATGAGTGGCTCAATCGCTTGAATTCCACACCCTCCCCAACGACATGAGCGCCTGGATTAATACATGTTCTGGATGTACGTAGAGCTGCTGCATGTCTCTTCGGTCAAAGACATTTTCCGGAAAATCCCTCATATAATTGTACCTTTGTAGGGGTTTTCACCGCCATTTTTGGATTTTCTCCGGAAATATTTTCACCCTTCTTTTTCTCATTTGATTCAATTTCTTTTTTCTTACGGTCTTCTTCAGGATTCTGCGGTTCCTGAAGCAAACATCTTGTAGTGAAAGTGGCATGCAAACCTTTCCAGAATTTGTCACAGGGCTTTGAAAACTTCCGGTTTTCATGGTTGGTGGAGGTGTACTTTTGACAATGAGATTCTATTAAAGTTTGGCTATACGACTCATGCCCGTCCCCTTCCTCCCTCGAGTCAGGGTCAACCTTCCGTTGGACGAAACGGTGAGGAAAATGTTGCAGTGGAAATATGGCTGAAATAGAGGAAAAGTGAGAGGATGCCTCCCCCCGCTCGACGGCAATTTTGGAGGAAAAAGTGGGCGGAGTTTGGGCTGTGTCGACTGGTCTCAGAATCGAATACTATAGAATGAGCCCCATGATGGCGATGGCAGGCGAGGGTGGTGAAGGGTTGACCCTGAGGGGGGTCGTATCGAGGCCCTCTAGAAGGGGGAGGGGGTCGTAAAATTTTCGAAATCGGTCCAACGTGACGGTTGACCCTGGCTCGAGTTAAAACTGTAGGTCATGGAGATCCCTAGAGCCATCTTCATGTCCGAGTTCTACTCCACCCATTACCTGAAGCTATACCTGACTTTACCCGAAAAAGGGTCTAAAGAGTGGCAGGTCTCTCTACAGGAAAACAATAAAATTAGCGAAAATACCGTAAAATTCTCGAAGTTCTGTGGAATTGGTTGAAAACTCTCATAAATGTTTCCAAGAGTCCCTTTTATCATTATCCCGACGAAGTCGTCAGAGCTCACCCCCCATGCTCTGAATACGATTCCAAAATTCACCAGAGACTAACCTTAATTGAAACTAGGGTCGTGGATCCCAAAGGTACTTCTACTCATTTCAGAATGGACTGATCGTGATTACTATCTCACTTAGGCGGAGCAAAGAGGTGAACTAATAAAATGGGGTTATTTTTTGAATGACGTTAGAATGAGGAAATCAATATTGGACTTCTATCCGGTGACTCACATTGGCTTGGGCACCACCTGCTCTTTGACGCTTTTTCTTAGAGCAGAAAACGGCTGAAAATCTGTTTGTTTCATTAAAAATTACATCAGTTCCAAATTGAAGGTTTCCGTATGGCCGAAATCATTGGATGCGCTAGGGCCTTACAAATTAGGCTAATGATGGAAATGTGACCTAGTGAACGAAATACCTCGCGCAAATTCCACGCAATGTGGATTACGCGTAGCGGCTAAATCGGGAACGCACGAGAGTGAAAGCATAGAGCAAGCGATGTCAGGCAACTCGTCCGGACACGCCCTCCCTTATTCCAGGGCAAAAGGAATGCAGTTCTTTTGAATCTCTATGGACGGCTTGCTCTGCATGCAATAGCGCCATCGTGTCACTGCTGCACTGCTTCACATATGTATGTTTCATATATCCCAACTGAGGAAATTTTCAGAAAAGAGGGGTGGAGCTGCGACATGAGTATGGGGCTGTCTTCGGACATGAAAAAAACGCAATACAGGTGCAAAATCTCTTTGAATTTCTGGCACACCAAGTGGACTTTACATCCCCTTTCTGCATCTCTCTGCCGTTCATTATTGAAGAACTTACCAATAGTGAGTAAAGACAGCGAAGTAGAGAAGAAAGCAGCACCCATATACAATGTATCGAGTATGGTGCTCTGCCCGGTAATCACCAACAGCATTGCACGACGAAGTAAACGAGAGTGAAAGTATACTCGAAATGATCATGTGATTACAGAGGGATAATGATCCTCCTATCATTCCATTATCATTGGTCACATAGAAGTAGTAATTGCAAACTTTCAACTTTGTAGGGTATGTAGGAGAATTACAAGTAGTTCGTCGCCTATGGATTCTTTAGGTGATGTATCGACTGGCTATGAAAACATCGTCGACGCATAGACCGCAAACACCCTAAGGTACATACACTTCAGATACGAGTCAATTCAGCAAATGCATCCCAGTTTAACTTGCATCCAGTCAGCTTTCCCAGAAACACCTCCACTGGAATTGTATGAAGTACGCTCAAGGCCAGCGATATAGCGAAAATCGAATTGCTTTCAGGTGCTGTGCCTAGGTGACCTAGGCAGAGCACCTGAAAACACTCTCCCTCTTTTTATGCCCTTTTTCCTATCCGCTTCAGAAAATCACCTTACAGAAGCTTTCGCAATACGATTTTGACTACAGTTTTATTGATGTAGTTGCGTAAACGCAATCATTTCAAGGATTTCGAGATAAAAGATAGCAATCACCTTATCTGCTTCCTTTTCAAAATCACTCTCGGTACAATCATTTCTCACTGTTACCTATCAAAGGTAGGGTTGCCTCCTATTCTGAAAATTTTATTATTATTAGGTCCATTGACTTGCCGCCAGCTATGACAGTTCTATCCGAAATTTTCCAGTTTCGTATTAAAAGAGCCCTTACAAGGGGAGGTCTTTCAGGTGTACCCGCGCTTTCTCAAAACGGTTTTTTGCATGATGTAGAGGGATGTGCGTGGATTACAGAACTGTAGTCCATTTCCGCTAAATGGCCCTCTGAATGCCAAAAAAGGAGTGAGCAAATGGTCCTTGGTTCGATTCCGCCTTACGAC